AACGAGCTTGGTTTCTATTTGCTTAATTCACCTGAAGTCTGACCGTACATGGCCTGTGGTGTTTGGCTTTACTCAGCACCGGGTTTTCAAGGCTCAGCCCCATGGCTGCGTCAGGACCTGGTCTGTCCTCAGTAGGAGCGCTGGGAGCCCTGGTGGAAAAGACCTGGTGATCTCCCCCATATGCTGGTGGTCTCCCCCATAAAAGACGAGTCCCGGCAACCCTGTGGAGCTGTGCTATGGTTGAACTCAAGTGCCCCCTGCACCGGCCCCCCTGACACTGTGCACAACACCGCCACGTATTTATTACGACCACTGTGGTGGTTTTGAGGGAACGTCTTATTGTTTATGCTTTTGAGACCGTCCCCAGCCTAAACATACGTCCATTCAAGGCGTCTGTGCACGTGCAGTTCAGCGGCACCTGATGACGTTCTGGGTTGAACCCCCTCCCTGAGCTGGCCCGTCCTCGTGAGCAGCAGTCTGCTCCCTGCTAAGGTCCTGGTGGAGCCTTTCCTGTGGCTGCTGTCAGGGCCATCGCACATGGATAGTTTTCCAGAGTCTAGTGCTCAAGGCAGGCATTTTCTACTCAAAATTCCTGCCCCCACCCAACTCAAAAAACCTAACCTCACTGCCATCAGGTTGAGTCTGACTCATCACGACCCTGCAGGACAGGGTAGAGCTGCCCCCGGAGTTTCCGAGACTGTAACTCTTCATGGGAGTAGAAAGCCTTGTCTTTCTCCAGTGGGGTGACTGGTGGTTTCCAACCACTGCCCTTGTGGCTGTCAACCCCGCACATAACCACGCTGCCACCGGGGCCCCAACATTTCTCTACTAGTTCAGCTAAACCAGTGGTTCTCAACCTGTGGGTCCCGACCCCTTTGGAGGTCGAACAACCCTTTCACAGGGGTTGCCTGGGACCATTGGAAAACACATATTTCCGATGGTCTTAGGAACCGAGACACCGCACCCCTATCCATCTCCAGGAGGGTCCGCCCACATGCAGATATGCCCACATAGGAGTACCCGGTGTGAAGACTGTTACCCATGCTACCCCATGCTTCAAGACAACATCTCATTTATTTTCAATTAGAAATAAATATTTCACAACATACAATTACATATTGTTTTGTGATTCATCACTATGCTTTCATGATGTTCAATTTGTAACAATGAAAATACATCCTGCTTATCAGATATTTACATGATGATTCACAACAGTAGCAAAATAACAGTGATGAAGTAGCAACAAAAACAATTTTATGGTTGGTGGGTCCCTGCAACCTGAGGAACTGTCTTCAAGGGTCTCCGCATGAGGAAGGTTGAGAACCCCTGAGCTAAATTCCTGTTCGGTTTCAGCAGCCCTGGTGGCACAGCAGGTTATGAGATGGGCTGCCAAGCACCAAGTCAGCAGTTCGAAACTACCAGCTTCTTTGAGGGAGAAAGATGAGGTGTTTTGGTCAGAGTTGCAGTTTGGAAAACTGCAGAGGGGAAATACTACCCTGGTCCACAGGGTCATGGTGAATTGGAATCAATTTGATGGCCCCCTTTTTGCATTGTTTGGTTTTAAGAAGACTTATAAGATATTTTTGATCACACAGGCTGATGTGTTCTTCTATGTGGGCTTTGTTGCTTCTGA